CAGGCCTCCGCCTTCCTGGTGAGCAAGGACAGCATGCAGAGCCCCTTCCAGAACAGAGCTCTTAAGCCTCTGAAACCGGAAAAGGCCACCGCAGGCTCCTGATCTATTTTCCTACTTTAAAAGCTGGCTTTTCTCCTTCCATTGACAACCATTTATTGGACCCTCCTGTGTGCTTAGAACATTTATTTAAAACCAGAAGGGGGTGATACCAGGGTGGCAAGGCTAGGTTTTTTAAATTGCATAATTTAAAAAATTATGCAATAAAACATCTGCTTAAAACAGYAAGAGGAACTCAACACATTTTGCTGCATTTTGGGGTCCAGAGGGTAACGATGTTTATATTTCTTGGTATAAAATCATTTAAAAAGCGACCTCCAGGCACTAGAGGTGTAACTCCGTGGCAGAGCGAGCACATGCTGAACACACCAAGGCCCTGGGCTCCACCCGCAGCACCAGGAGCCTCCTGGTGTGGTGCTGCAGATACTGCAGTCAGAAGCCCGTGGAAGCCCGTGGATGATCCGCACTGTCCACCCTGCCYGCTGGTCCTGCCACCCTACTGAGTGCAAAACTTTCTTTTTTTTTTTTTTTTCCTGATACTGGGAATTGGAACCCAGGGCCTTGTGTATGTGATGCAAGCACTCTACCAACTGGGCTAGATCCCCAGCCCCTAAAACTTTCATTTTATGGCGAAATTGCCCCACTCCAGTTTGGGAGTTTCCAGTCACCAGGGCTCAAGCCACCTCACAGCCTTTMCACAGACTCCACCGAGCCGGGCTGCTGCACACTCTCCATCTGTCCTCGCAAATGGTCTCTTCCCCTGGAGGGCCTCTCACTTCCGGCTGCCTAGCCCAGTCCAGCGCAACCTCAAGTTGATTTTCAGTGACGTCCCCAACCCATGACCTCCTTCCTCTTATTCTCCCAGCAGCTACTGCCAGGGTGACAGTCCTACTAGGTAGATCTGTGCACACGCAGATTCTTCCCAGCTAAGTGCTTAAGCCCCACTTCCTGGGTCCTCCTCACCATGCTCAGAACAGGAGCTTGCCCTCTGTAGACTCACAAAAAAAGCTCCTCGTCCGACTTCAGAAAGGTTGATTGTGGAGTTAATTTTAAACAGTAGATGTCAGGGAATCTGTGTACTTTGCAAAGCATGAAATAAAGTCCATGGTTTATTAATTGAAATAAAGAACTGAAGGAGCTGAGAGACGATTCATTCTCTTAGCAAAGACGAGACCCATGAAAAAATATGTTCTGAACTGAATTTTATAAATCAGTATCCATTGAGAATCACCATGACTACAGGGAAACAAAAGATTAGCACATCTGTGTCCTTGAGACCCAGAACTGTTTTCCTTTAACTGGTCTCCCAGAACTTAAATAACTTAACTAACTTATTCTCCCAGTTAGTGCATGAATGTGAATGTGTTCACAAACCAGACAAGGAAGAGTCGGACACCCCCTCTCAGACAGCACCAAAGTGTGGGCCCCCTAGGGAAGGAACAGCTGAGCTAGCTTCATTTATTATTATCATCTTTATCATCATTATTATTATGCACTGGGGATCAAACCCAGGGCCTCAGAGAAGCAAAGCACATGCTCTACCACTGAGCCCCACTCCCAGCCCCAGAGCTAGCTTTAATGGTCCTTTCAACTCCAATGAAATTGTTCAATGAAATACAATAAGGGTATCCAATAATGTTTAAAATGTCTTGTTGGACAGTTAAAACAAACAAACAAAAAACACTCCTGGATTTATCAGCTCTGCAAGTTTGAATCCTTGCCTCTTTAATGGATATTTGGCTTTCAAATGTAAGCTGAAAATGGTATTATTCTGAATAAATGGTTCCACTGAGCTGCAAGAAAATAAATCAGCAGACCGCCCAAGTGGTGGTGGGCAGAAGAGCTGTTCTCCGCTGGCTGCCCGCAGCACGTGCATATGTGGTGTCTCTGGAGCCAAAGAGACATCTGTCTCTCGTTCCATCTACTAGCTGTCATTTTGGACAAGTTACTTAAACTCCTTCAGCCCCAATCTCCTTATCTTTAAAATTAGGATACTCCCCCTCATGCAAGCTTATTGTGAGGATAAAATCTGATGATGCTGAAAAGCATCTAGCACAAAATCAGAAACAGCAGGCTTGCTCTGTGAGAGCCACTGTGTTCACACAACCCTCCCTGGGTGGCTAAACCCCTAGTGATAAACTTCCACATTCACTTGGTGGTTTGTATCTTCCAGGATGTTGTTACAAATATTATTGCTTCATTTGATCTTCATACAGCCTAGTGAGATAGGGCTGGGCACTGGGGTGCATGCCTATAATCTCAGCGACACAGGAGGCTGAGGCAGAAGGATTGCAAGTTTGAGCCCAGTCTCAGCAAGTTAGTAAGACCCTCAGCAAGTTAGTGAGACCCTGTCTCAAAGTTTTAAAAAATGCAAAAAGGGATGGAGATGTAGCTCAGTGATAAAGAACCCCTGGGTTCTTAAAAAAAAAAAAAAGAAAAGAAAAGAAAAGAAAAAAAGAAAAAGCAAACTATACTTACAGAAAGTAGTTGAGCAAGTGCCAGGGAATGGAACAAGGAGGGATAGAGAGTGAGCAATTTCAAAAAGGCAATGTTTGGGGGTGATGAACGTGTTCCTTGTCTTGACTGCGTGATGGGGTCATAGACATGTGAAATGGRTCCAATTGTGAGTAGACTTTAAGTAAATGTGATCCATGGCATGTCGGTCTAAATAAAGCTGTTGGGAGGGAAGGAGGAAGGAGAGGCCGTTCTCTCTCCAGGTCCCCTCTGCTTGTTCCCTGACAGCACGCTCGCCCAGGCCCACAGCAAAGCTGCTTCTGTGTCTCCTTCGTGGTCCGTGTGTTGGAGGTCRGAGGAGGAAGGACTGGTTTGGGAGAAGAGCTGGTGCCTCTTCTGCTCACAAGGCACGAGGCTGGGCCTTCACCTGACCTCTCTCGGCCAGCCTCCCTTGGCCATACTGACCCTGCTTGTCCAGCCTGCCATGACRCTGGTTGGAGGATTGGCTTCCCAAGGACACACATCGAGTGCTGTGTGCGCTGGGGGCGTGAATCTAAGGGAGGAGGGCAGTGGGCAACAGGCGTGATCCTGACCCCCTTTCTAGAGCAGTCACGACCGTGAAAGCTAYGCTGTCGGAGTCTGCCTCAGCCCTTGAGTCCTATCAGTGCTGAATCCTTTGGCTAAGAGACCCCAGATTCCTCTTCTACACGTTTCCCTGTGTCCACTCTAATTTATCCAGAATTGTGTTCTAGATTCAGGGCTGTCACTCACTGTGAGGGCCTGCACCGGCCACGCCTCCATGCTGAGCATCTGTTAAAGGTTTCTGGGGTTTCTCCGACTCCTATAGTGAAGGTTCCATCACCCTCTGGTCCCACTATCTGCCTGCTGAGTCATCCAGATGGGAGGGCCAGTGTGGCCAGTGGCTCTTCTCTCCTCCCTGATCTTCAGAGACATCGAGGCCTTGGGGTGACGATGACCTTTACCAGCTCCCACTGACACACACACACACACACACACACACACACACACACACACACACACACCTCTCAGGCGCGTGCACCATGGATTTGCTCCTCCCAGATGCTGTTCACCTGGTTTTTTGTCTGATAAACACCACGTTCACATGTGCACCCAGATATCTTTTTAATCTTATCCACTCAGAAGCTATCATGTGAGTTGGTAAAAAAAAAAAAAATCTTACCTCCCAGAAAGTTTGATCTTCAAAATATTTAGCCTCATGAGGCGCTTTCCAGATCTTGAGTCTTAGAAGCAAACCTTAAACAAATGATAATTGGGTGTTAAAACACTCGGAGCACAGCCTTCGTGGTCTCAAGATGAATCAGGATACTGTGCGTAGACTTTGGGGTCTCAATAGAAATCCTGTGGGGCCCACCTTTGGGGTCAGGCAAGTGGAAGCACTGTCCTTCCTGGACCCGTTTCACTAATTCTGTGGACTTTTTTAAAAAGGAATGGGCAAGAGCAGCATTTGCCAAAGGGTCCAGACGATACTGAGCAGGTTCGGCGGCCCAGACTCTGACACCCTTCCCGAGTCGGAGCAGAAAGTCCATGGCAACCGGTGCCTCACTCAAAAACTGACCTGTTCAAAACACAAGAGTCACCATGGCCGGTCAGTCTTCACCAGCCTCAACACCTCCCAGACTTCAACTCAAGGCTCCACCTGTGGGGGCTGGGCTGTGGCTCAGTGGTGGAGCGCTGCCTGGCATGGGTGAGGCCCTGGGTGCACTCCTCAGCACCACAGGTAAATAAATAAAATAAAGGCTGATGACAACTAAAAATAATTTTTAAAACAGACTCCACTTATGTAGAGAGGATAGTTATAATCACTTGCTTTTATTCCTATTCTTTTTCCTGTCCAGTCTCTGCCCAGAGAGCTTCACCCTCGGGATCCCTTGGCTCTGCAGTCAGGTGAACTTCCCAGAACATGTCGTGAGTGACATGTCATGAGTGAGGGCTGACCTTTTATTTGCAGCCAGAAAATGCTCCTCTTGGGTTTATCCCTATACCTATGTGGGGAGGTTTTTAAAAGACAAGGGTCTAGCTAGGTGTGGTGGCACACGCCTGTAATCCCAGCAGCTTGGGAGGCTAAGGCAGGAGGATCATGAGTTCAAATCCAGCCTCAGCAACTTAGTGAGACTCTAAGCAACTCAGTGAGACCCTGTTCCTAAACAAAACACAAAATAGGGATGTGGCTCAGTGGTTGGGTTCAGTCCCTGATACCAAAGAAAAAGACAAGTATCTGACTGTATTACTGAGGTTGGCCTCTAATTCCTAGGTTCAAACAATCCTCTTGCCTGAGCCTCCTGAGGAGCTGGGACTAGAGGTACACACCACTGCACCCAGCTATCTTGGCATTTTAAATTATGATTGGTTCCAGTGTATTGAATAAGATTAACAAGAGAAGTCACGTGCTTTGTGAATTGATATTTTTCTTTGTGAATTGATACCTCTGGTTGATACTGGCATGCAGGGTGTAAACAGCACTCATCACATAGCTAGAATTATTCAGAAATCCTCTCTAGTGCCTATGTGAATTTTCCAGATAACTAAGGCTTCCCCTTATCACTGATGAACAGCTCTCTAAAATTTTGTGTGTGTGTGTGTGTGTGTGTGTGTGTGTGTTGTGGGGGGGAGGGACAGAGGATTAAAACCAGGGACACCTAACCACCGATCCACATCCCCATTCCTTTATATTTTTTATTTGAGACAGGGTTTTGCCAAGCAGCTTAGGGCCTCGCTAAGTTGCTGAGGCTGGACTTGAACCTGCAATCCTCTTGCCTCAGCCTCCCAAGCACTGGGATTACAAGCGTGCACCACCACGCCTGGCTTAAAATATATTTTCTTGTCTTAAGAGACGACACTGAACAGATTTAGAGACTTAAAAAAAAAAAAAACAAAACAAAAAAAAAACAGAGCCATCATTAGGAACATCCATCCACGAAATGCGCCGTGCGCCTGGAGGCCTGTGTCCAGCCGGCCTGTTGACCTGCGCCTGGCTGCCTAAGTGTTCCTTGTTCTGGGCTCTGGTTTTAAGAATTGCTTGTCCTCTCCTGGGTTCTGTGTTTCCACCTCCAACTTCTGCCCATGTGTGTCACCCCTGGAACCTATCCCTCCTCTCATCTGCTGCTTGGAATCTACCGGTACTGGGAAGCCCACCCAGCTGGACAGTTTTGTAGACAGGCCCCAAGGCTCCGTGGGGTCCCCCTTAGCCAGCCCCAGGCCTGGCTTCGGCAGTTCAGCGGGTGCTTTCTGGTTGTTTTGAGGCTTTGGGCCCCTCCCACTGTCCAGGTTTTTTCAGAGTTTGTGTGTGGTGTGGGCAGGGCCCCAGGGCCTGGAGCTGGCCAGGCAGGGACACTAACTACCACGGAGCCACCCGCCAGCCCTGCCCAGTGGTTTTAGGCACCAGCTCCCTAAAGAGTTGGCCTTTGCTCTCCAGGAGTGCACAGGTGTCCTTCCCACTGTTCTGTTTTTGGCTCCCAGGCGCCCACCAGACAGTGTGCAAGTCGGTGTCACCCTGTAAATACCAGCGAGGACGGCAGCTGGAGTCCGAGAGTCCCCATGTAGAGTTGCCAGATAGAATAGAGGGTGCTGGTTTAGTTCCGAATTTGGAAAGTGGGTGCCTTGAGTTTCCATTTGCTAAAGGCAGCAGCCCAGCCTGGGCTTGGCTCGCGGGGCTGGGCTGGGCGGCCACCAGGAGCAGAGCGTCGGCTCCCAGGGCCAGCGCTCCTCCGTGTCCACTCAGTCATCTCAGATTTTATTGACAGCTAAGGCCGGGCATTGAGCCAATCTCATGCCCTAAAATGACCCAGGTCCCTTCAAGAATCATCTTCATATACTTTCCCCGAGGGCAGGAAGCCCGGTGGTTATCACTGCAACCCTTTCATTTGCAGAGAAGCTAACCAGGCCCAGACAGAGGGAGGAAAGGCCAGTGTCACCCAGCCCATGTGTCTTGTGTGCCACTGGGCCTCTGTTTGGCTTCCACCCCCTCCTAGGGCACGTCCCACGGGGGCCTGACCAACAGGAGGGTTCGCTTGTGAAATGCAGCCGGCAGCTCTGGGCAGGGGTGATGGCCTCTCCCAGCTGCCCGTCGGCAGCAGGCGGCCTCCGAGGGCCTTTCCATCTCTGAAATTATTCTATGATTTTTTTTTTTAATCAGGGTCTGAGCCCTTTGCCTCGTTGAGCTGGAGCTGAGGGGTCCGTTGGGGGGACAGGGAGGGGAGGGCGCCCACAGAGCCAGCCCSGGGTGCCCACGGAGCCTGGGCCCGCGTCATACCGACCTGTCAGGAGGCCGGAGGCCAGGCTCATCAACACGGCGAAGCTGAAAGCCCCCATCATCGTGAGCATCTGGTTGCCAGTCCTAGAGATGACAAAGCGGAGGGTCACTCGGGCACCCACGGCAGAGGTCGTCAGGGACGAAAGGACAGTTGGCATCAGCCACTGCCAGGATGGGCCACACGAGGAGACCCCGGTCCCCGCCCCAGCTGGTCCCTATCATCACCCCATATTCCTGGAATATACTTCCGGGCTCTATTCCYGGGTCCCCCCTCTTCCCAAGGCCACCCCGGGGCATCACTTTCTCTTGCTGAGAATCCGACCCAGGCCTCGCACAGGCCCCTGAGCCACCACCCCAGCCCCCAGGGCATCGCCTTCAAAATTAAATAAGTACAGGGTCCCTGGGAGCCTCGCCCTCCCCTCCACTGCAGCCGCAGACCGTCCTGCAAAACACACGCAGTTTGTAAGTCTTTTCTGTTTCTCATTTCCCAGCTCCGCAGGTGGTGGGCAGGTCCCCCTTTGGAAAATGAGGAAAGAGGAACCTCACTGCACTCCTGTTTCGTCTTGGCCAGTCAATAAACCTGGCTTTCCTGGCCACTGGTTGTGCAGTGGGGGAAGGGTGACAGCACCCACCCGGTGGCATTGGGTGGGGGGTCCTGCAGACCCTCGTGCAGGGCAGGGGTGGAGGATTAGTACCTCGGCTGGAAAGGCAGCCAAGGCCCCTCCAGGTGGCCAGGCCAGGCCCCTATCTCTACCTCCTTTGTCTACCTTGAGAAGTGGGCCTCCTCCCCAGCACCCAGCTCAACTCAGGCCAGCGACAGCTCAGGGAAGTGTTTGTGGAATGAATGAAAAATCAAGTAAATTGCCCAATTCCTTGATCCACTAACAGCAACTTTTAGAGAAAAACGCAGCCCGTGTGTGTGAACCTGCAGACATTCTTCAACAGATGTAAAAGAGCTAAACATAAGGGAACAGTGATCAATTAGACCGCATTAAGATTAAGAACTGCTACTTATCAAAAGACACAAGAAAGTGAAAGTAACTCACAAAATATGAGAAGATATTTATAATATGTGTGAGTGTGTGTAAATATATATATAAAACAAAGGACCCATATTTTGAATATATAGAGAGTTCATACCAATTAATAAGTAAGAGAACAACACAATAGAAAAATGGTTGAGGAACCTGAACAGACATTTCACAAGGTACTCAAATGTCCAAAAAGTGCCCTAGGAAAAGTTCTCTCCTCACCCACCCAGTCCTGGGGATTGAACCCAGGGTGCTCTCTCAGTGAGCCACCACACCACCCCTTTATATTTTATGATTTGTTTATTTATTTTTTAGTTATAGGTGGACACAATATCTTTATTTTATTTTGATGTGGTACTGAGGATCGAACCCAGTGCCTCATGCATGGTAGGCGAGCCCTCTACCTCTCAGCCACAACCCCAGCCCCGTCCCTTCTCATTTTTTTTTTTGAGACAGGGTCTCACTACATTGCTGAGGCTGGCCTCAAATTTGTGATCCTCCTACCTCAGCCTCCTGAGTAGCAGGATTATAGGCATGCACCACCAGGCCCAGCTAAGTGCTCCTTTTAACCAAACCTTGAGGAAATTAAAATCGAAACATTATGTTGGTAGCTAAATGGCTAATTAAAAAGAAAGAAAACACTAAGTGTTAGAGAACACAAACAGGGGAACTCTTCCATACTACTGGTGATTAGATAGGCGTGCACGGTCATGGAAAACCAGTGATATTGACCAAGACTTCGCATTTGGACACCCCATGATACAACAGTTCCACTTCTAGGCCTAAACTCAACAGAAGTGCCTTTCGCATTCTCAAAACAAATGTGCTAGAACATTCACAGGGGCAATTCCACAATATTCATACTCCCTCCAAACTTCAAACTGCCCACGTGCTCATCAACAACGGACACTAAATCACATCATCTTCACACGCTGGGACACTTGTCCTCACTGGTCCTCCAGCGACTCATCAACCATAAGGCCAAACTCATGGCCAGAGTTATTCACCTCATTCTCCTTCAACTTGGCTCTCGGCAGACAAGGAAGCTCAGGAACTCCAACCCGTGTGTCCTCACTTCCGCCCCAACAGGGGACATGCCCACCCAGTTACGCCCCTGCCACTACTGTCATAAAGACATTGGGCCAGTTACCTTCTCATGCTGTCTGCCACCTGGCCCCTGCATGTGATATGGTTTTGTGTGGCCCCCGCCTAGGGTGCTGGGCCTCTCCTTGCAGCGGAACATTAAATTCTCCTTCCAATGACATCGGCCCCCTTAGCATTGCCACTCGTCACCTGTATGAATTCAGACCAAGCACGATGGAACACTGTACTTCAGTGAAAAAGGAACAGTCTGGCTGAATCGCCACGGTGCCGAGCAAAAGACTCCGGGCACGCAAAGCACAGGCCGCCTCTGCGGCTGCACCTACATAAAGCATAAAAGCAGGCAAAACTGACGGAAGCGGCGAGAAGCCAGGTTAGTGGTGACCCTGGATGAGGCAGGGAGAGGTGTTGGGTGCCGTTTACATGGATATGTGGTACCTTCCTTTTCTGGATGTAGATTCTACTCTTAATTAAAAGATTTTTTAAAAATAACAAGTGGGCAGAATAGAAGTCAAACCTGCATCTACTGACCCATAATGCACATTTTTGATTATTTATAGATTTTTTTCCCCTCTTTTTTTGGTCTCGGGGATTGAACCCAGGGGCACTTAACCACTGAGCCACACCCCCAGCCCTTTATTACACTTTATTTAGAGACAGGGTCTTGCTGAATTGTTCAGGGCCTTCCTAAATTGCCGAGGCTGGCTTCGAACTCGTGATCCTCCTGCCTCAGCCTCCTGACTTGCTGGGAGTACAGGCGCGTGCCACTGCATCTGGCCCATAACAGTTTGGACTGTCCTGAGGCCATAGGAGAGCAGAAATGGATGAAGGAGAATTCATCACTGCATTAAGAGTTCCCGGGAGTGGTATGTCCCCACCCCGGCCAGGCCCTGGCTCTGCCTGCAGATTTCACCCCATCCTGTCCGAAGTCTTCTGGGCCAGACTTTACATGGGTGCTTCCCAGAGCAGAAGTCCAGGTGGGGAACGTGAACAAGCACCCAGCTCTGCAGCTTGGAACCAGGGGCTCTCGGGATTCCAACCAGGCAGGCCTGACTGTGGCAAGACCCTGTCTCAAAATAAACACAAAAAAGGGCTGGGGATGTGGCTCGGTGATTAAGCGCCCTGGGTTCAATCYCCAGTACAAAAAAAAGAAAGAAAAAAAAAAGAAGAAGATGAAGATTGTTAGGTCCTGTTCCCAGTAGGTCTGGGTGGGCCACAGGATTTGCATTTCTAGTAAGTTGCCTGGTGATGCTGAAGAGAATCACCACCCTGGAGAACCACAGAACCACACAGAACCCCGGGGACTTGAAGGTGGTTGGTCCACAGGTTAAAGGTCTGCAACTCAGAACAGAATCCGGTCCGCCCACTGTTACTCATGATTTTGAGTGTTTTCACCAGGGTTTGGGGAGCACGTGCCRAGCTGTGGACCCTGGCTTCCCTTGAAAACACTGGACCTGGTGACACTGAGCCTGGGTCCCTGCACAGTGATGGTTGCCTAGACTCCCTGGGTGGGCCTCATTGTGCACGTGATCTGCCTGGCTCCTCCGGGCTTCTGAGTTTGGGACMCTGCTTTTACAGAAGGGAGTTCTGAAGCCCAGAGAGAGGAAGCAATTTACCTAGAGTAACACAGCTCTCAGAACAGTGGCAGACACATCACTGGTACCCGTTGCCTTTCCACACAGACCACCCTCCCCATTCCCGGGGGGGGGGGGTCCTCCTCACTCAGTACTCCTGCATGGACGGCTCCCCACCCCAGAAGCTTCCTACAATTGGGGGCTATGGTCACCTCAATTGTTGGAGCTCCCCAGGATCTAAGAGGTGGAAGAGAACTCCACCCCTCCACAGTTTCTCAGAGATGCTTCCAAACACAAGCTCAAACCCCACTTCAGCCACCCTTAGAGTCAGGTTCCAGCCAAGTGACCTTGGTCACATCACTGAAGAGATTTATATATATATATATTTTAGTACAATGAGTAGCACTTAGAAAGCAGACAGCAAACGATGATATGAGTGATCACATCAACACTGTATCAGTTCATCTGTAAAAATGTTAGTCTCGATTTATAGGAGCCGCATCCAGCMAAAGCTCACCCAAGCTGGGCACGGTGGCACACGCCTGTAATTCCAGCAGCTCAGGAGGCTGAGGAAGGAGGATCATGAGTTCAGAGCCAGCCTCAGCAAACTCAGTGAGACCCTGTCTCTTAATAAAATACAGARTAGGTCTGGGGATGTGCCTCAGTGGTCGGGTGCCCCTGAGTTCAATCCTGATAAGTGGAGTGCTTATTGCWATCCATTTTCTGGGGGACACAAACCTGCCTCTTGTCCGGAAGCCCATGATCCCCCCTCACAGTGAGAAGGCCACCAAGTCCCTTCGCTCTCTGTGCCTTGGGGCTGGCTTAGGACTTTCCTACCTCAAACTTCTTAAATCTTAACCTTACATCAGGGGCACCCCGTAGCCTCCCAACAACCCAAGAGCAGAGACAGCCTCACTGTCCCCAGTCACACTTGGACAACCCAGGAGGGAGAGTTTCTGTGGCATCCCAGCAGGACACTGGAGGGAATGACTTCAAGACCAGCCCCTGCGGGCTCTTGACCTCAACCTGAACTCTGTGGCTTGCAAAACGGGCCCAGTGGGCTTCGGCAGATTGACCTGCTCTGCCTGCATTGATGGGGCCCCTCCGCCCCACACCTCAGCCCTGCACCCAGCTGCCCCAGGGAGGAAGCGGCCTGGAGAAGTGACAACCGTCACATAGGAAGAAGTTATCGACCAACTTATTTCCTGAGGCCTACTAAGTGCCTGGGCCCGAATGCACCTGCCTCCCAGGGCTCTGGGGATACTTCCTAGTGCACGGCGACAGGGCTGGGAAGTAAGCCTAGGTACCCACACCTGGGATGAAGAGGTCCAGAGCAGCAGCACGATGTAGGTGGCCACCCCGAGCAGGCCCGGCAGGCCGAAGGTGTACTGCACACCGCTGAAGTCCTGGGTCACCTGCATGTAGTTAAAACTCGCCTGGGGACAAATAGCATTATAAGTATATCTGCAAGTGACACTCCCCTGTTCCCTCCCCACCCTTTTTTGCAGATCCTAGGTATCCAGGCCACCAAGGGTGATGGACGTGAGGCTGGYCTAAAGAAGCCTTTCTCACAAAAAAACAAATAACCCAATCAATAACTGTGCCAAGGAACTGACGGACACTTCTTGGAAGAGGATATGCAATCAATCAACAAACCTGAAAAAATGTTCAACATCTCTAGCTCTTAGAGAACTGCAAATCAAAACTAAGATTTCATCTCACTCCAGTCAGAATGGCAGTTATCAAGAATACAAGCAACAATAAGTGTTGGCGAGGATGTGGGGAAAAGGCACACTCATACATTGCTGCAAATTGGTGCAGCCAATCTGGCAAGCARTATGGAGATTCCTTGGAAAACTTGGAATGGAACCATCATTTGACCCAGCTGTGCCTCGCCTTGGCCTATACCCAAAGAGCTCAAAAACAGCATACCACAGGGACACAGCTACATCCATGTTTAAAGCTGCACAATTCATACTAGCTAACTTATGGAACCAACCTAGATGCCCTTCAGTAGATGAATGGATAGGGAAACTTTGGTGTATACACACGATGGACATTACTCAGCACTAAAAGAGAATAAAATCATGGCATTTCCAGGTAAATGGATGAAATTGGAGAATATAATGCTAAGTGAAGCAAGCCAATCCCCCAAAACCAAAGGTCGAATGTTTTCTTTGATGTGAGGAGGCTGACTCATAAGGGTGATGGGGGGGAGCACTGGAGGAAGGGAGGAACCTTAGAGCAAAGGGAGGGAGGGGAAGGGAGGGGGCAAGGGGATAGAAATGACGTGGAACGAGTTAGACATCACTACCCTAAGTTCAGGTGTAAGACACAAATGGTGTGAAAATACTTGGTGACTTGAAAAACTGTGCTCTATATGTGTAATACACAATGAGTTGCATTCGGCCACCATGTATAACAAATTAGAATAAATTTTAAACAAATAGAAGAAGCAGCCCTTCTCAGACTCGAACCTGCACTTACATCCCCTGAGACACTTGTTCAAACRCAGAGAAGAATCAGTGGCTCTGAGTGGGGCCCGAGATTTGTCATTTCTGCTATTATTTTACTTRTTTAGTTTTACATGGTGCTGAGGATTGAGCCCAGGGCCTCACCTGTACTGGGCAAGTGCTCTGCTGCTGAGCCACGGCCCCAGCCAAGACTTGGGGTTTCTGACAAGCTCCCCGGTGGTGCCAACGCTGCTGCTCCGCGGCCCGCACTCTGGGTCGCCAGGGACTTGTGCGGTCATGACTCACATTCGAGGCTGATAATTCCGTGCTGGGGGCAGGGCGAGGCCGGCCTGTCCTTGTAGGATGTTTAGCAGCAACCAGGCTTCTACATTCTTTTTTTTTTTTTTTTTTTTTTTGGTACCAGAGATTGAACTCAGGGGCACTCGACCACTGAGCCACATCCCAGCCCTATTTTGTGTTTTATTTAGAGACAGGATCTCACTGAGTTGCTTAGCGCCTCGCTTTTGCTGAAGTTGGCTTGGAACTCACGATCCTCCTGCCTCAGCCTCCCAAGCCGCTGGGATTACAGGTGTGCGCCCGGCTTGGCTTCTACATTCTAYACGCGGGTAGCACCCCGTCTAGTTGCACCAAGGTGTTGTCACATATCCCCTGTGGCGGGGCGTGGGGGTGAACCTTGGTGTAGACAAGTTGAAGGTGAAGTCCGAAGGAAGGCCCTGACCACGCCACCGACTCCCATCCGCTGCTCCCTCCTCCGACAGCCCGGGTGCAAGCTGCGTCAGGCTGTCCCTCCCGGAACCTCCACTGTCTTCAGAATAAGAATTTAGGTCAGTCCTTCAGCTCGGGCGATGCGACCTTCCACCTCTGTCCACCTCTGTGGTTCACRAGAACGTCTCTCTGTCTCTTGGTTGGCCACGTGCTCTCCTGGCCGCTGAGCGAGCTGTTGTTCACGCAGCTCCTTCTGCCTCAAATACATTTCTCGCTTCTTCAATGACTTACCTGTCACTGCTCTCCTCCGATGTCTTCTGCTCCAGGACAAATTTCCTGACCCGACCCAGGCCAGCTTAGACATCTAAACTCCAGTAGCATCTGAGGCTGACCTTGAACTCTTGATCCTCCTGCCTCGGCTTCCCAAGCTGCTGGGATTACAGGCATGCACCACCGCGCCCGCCCGGTCCCTTTTTATTCTTATTTTGAGAAAGGGCCTTGCTAAATTGCTGAGGCATCCTCCTGCCTCAGCCTCCCAAAGTCGCTGAGATTACCAGAGGGCGCCACGTGCCCAGCCTTGTTATGCACCCTTTGTTGTTTATATCCTCCTTTCATCTCAGGGTTTCAAAGCCAGAGGACATGAAAAGACATCTGTTCACATGCAGAGATGAAAAGCAGAGGGCCTTATCTTTGGTCAAATCAAGCTTTGGTCAATTCTTTATTTTGAATTGGAAATGACTCCTGGAATATCCATTGTTTATCCAAATTCAGTCTTCAAAAGTCCTTTTTCTCTGTGTCAGTCTTCAAACTCTTTAGGATTTGTTGTCCCTAGACATTTCTCTTAGAAATACTTGATAACCGATTGGCTAGTGTGCAGGATTCTGGTGTAATCATTACCTGCTGAGGACTGAAGGAAGAAAAATCCATCCCTGCGAAGAATTAAACTATGGAGAGTGGACAGCACCTGGATTCTCAGCTGGGTTTTCCCTCTCTGGGTGCTGCTCCTCCTACCCACACAGTTTGTTAGCAGCAGCCCATGCATAAGCCCCTCCACCCCAGCCTAAGTGACACAGTCCACGTTAAACCCAGGAGCCCCTTTTCCAGAAAATTTGGAATTGGGACCAAAAGATTCTACTTGGCTGCTTTTTTTTTTTTTTTCCTGGGGATTAAACCCGGGGCCCTGTACATGCACTCTACCAACGGAGCTATCTCCCCAGCCCTACCTGGCTGCTTTCTTGAAGCAAAAGACCACATTCTACTGTGTGGAGCAGAAGAGGAGGCAGGTCCACAGAGTGAGAATGGAGCAGATATTCAGGAAAAGCAAAGGAAAGAAGCAGAGCAGAAACTTCTTGGCATCTTTTCAAATGCAGTCATTCCAGGGTTTCCAGAAACACCCCTGTCCTTGGGTTCTAGAAACCCTGGCATCCTTAAAACAGATCCTTCTTATGCCTGAGAAAACTTGAATGAGCCACGTACTTGTTCCCYGGCACCCTTGCACCAGCCAACCAGGGTGGGTCCCTCTCCCAGGCTTTGAAGYCAACCTAAGAAGGACCAGCACACGCCTACCACAGCCCATGGCCCCCCAGAGTGCCCACCAGGGACTCAGGAGTCTGCTGATGAAGCCCAAGCAGAGGGTATTCCTTGTCCAATTCCTTACCAGACACTTGGCTCCCCCAATGGAGATCAAGCCAGCCAGCAGGCCCAGCACCATGGCAATCCAAGGGGAGAAAATCAGGGAGGCTGGCGCACTCRAAGCCACGCCTCCAGCCAGCACAGCGTTGTGCACGTGAACCTGCAAAGAAACAGCAGGGGTGAATGAGGCCAGGCCRGAGGACCCGCCTTGCCCGGAGCTGGAAAGTGGCTGCAGAGCAACCTGTAATGTCCCTCCTGCTCTGTTGTCCCTCAGTGGGGACAACATGGCCATCATCCATGGGCCTGCCCCAGTCCCACCCCTCAGGCTGGGAGCCAGCAGTCCTTCTGATTGGGAAGCACACAGGGAAGCAGTGGGCAGGGGACGTTGCCCAGCATCCTGGCCACCCTTATTTGTGATGTGTTCTTGGGCACTTGGAAGAGCAGGGTTTCGCCACTCCTTGGGACGGGATCCAGTTCCATAAGGCAGGCCTTGTTCCTGGGTCCCCTCTCTGGGTGTCCTTCACTCCTGCAGAGYTGGAGTCTGGTCTTGCTCACATCTGGCCCCTTGACTTTCACGAGGCCCCAGAGCCCTGGGCCCCGGCACAGGTTCTGGGCTTTCCTGACCCTATACCAAGTCCTGCCTCCACAGATGACCCCACCTGTGTGCTCCTAGACTGTCACCATGGAGCGTGCACGTGGCAATGTCAACCTCCCCTCAGTGCTGGAACTAGGCTATGAATTGTCATCGGTGACCACATTCCCTCCCTCTGCTCCATGCCCTACATCTKCCATTTTCTCCCCAAACCTCCGGCTGGTGGATCTCTGCCTGATCATCATGGGAACTGGCTTTGCCTCTGGATTTCTCTTGTGTCCTCCCCAAACTTGTACCCACTATGTCAATGACAACAGCTAACRCCGCCTAGCACCCACTCCACATTAAGCACTTCATGTGCATTCTCTCTTCATTCCCATTTTACAGATGGGGAAACTGAGGCTCAACGAGTTGCAGTGGCTTGACCAAGGTCATTTGACTATTGGAACTTTTTTTTTTTTTTTTTTGTACTTCTGATGATGCTAATTCCATCTGGAGATTTCTTGGGAAAAGAGGAGAGGCTGAYTAACCCTGATCTCGTCTGTTCTGCTGACCGAGGTTTATGGTGGGTAGCTGGCTTCAGTTACTGGCAGAAATGGGGCTCAAATGGGGGCCTGTGTGTGTAAACACTGGTGATTCGACGACTCCCTGCAGAGAGCCTGTGACCCTTTGACAACCTCTAAGTCCCAGGGCCGTGGTGGCCACCTGGCCTCCTTCCTGCTTTGCCCACTGGAAGGCTTTGTCAGCCATGATCTTTCCGWGCGGCTGGCTCTGGGGTGGGAGCAGGCACGGATGCACCCAAATGCTGCCCCAGGGGTGGCCCCTCCTCACCAAGTTGATCTTCCCGTGGGGGTGAGCCAAAGCTGACACTGAGGTGGCGGTCACCGCGCTGACTGCCAGGGCGAAGTAGGTGTTGAGAAGAGCCGTCCTCTTGTTGTCTAGAATGTTCAGCGGAGCAGAGTTGAAACTTGGCCAGAATATCCACAAGAAGAGAGTACCTGGGGGGGACCAGAGAGGGTCACTGGCCAGAGCCATACTCGGGCTCCAAAGTCCTGAGCCTCCGGGGCTTCAGAGGAGGACCCTAGAGCTGGCGAGCCTCAGCTTGGCCCCTGTCCAGCTGCACCACCTCGGGGAYGTCCTGGCCTCCCTGGACCCACGAGTTGGCAGGAGCCAGCTAGCTCGCTTCACAGGCAGGGAAACCAAGGTCCAGGAGTTGGAATCTGCAACCCCAGCCGCCCGAGCCTGTCCGTGTTAACCCAGGGCTTASTTTCCTTTAGTTCTGCAGCGCTGGGGACCGAACCCAGGGCCTCACACGCTCACAAGTGCTCCACCACTGAGCCACAACCCCGGCCCCCAAAGGCTCACTTTTGAAAATCAAAGTGCGGCTTCAATTTGGTCCCATGGCCCCATACTCACGTGCCTGCTGCTGTTGGGCCCTCCGCCTGACTTCTTTTTTCTTTTTTTGGTGGGGCAGTACCAGGGATCAAACCCAGAGGTGCTCAGTCACYGAGCCACAACCACAGCCCTTTTTTTGTTTTTGTTTTTTGTAGCTGAACACAATGCCTTTATTATTTACTTATTTATTTATTTATGGTGGTGCTGAGGATTGAACCCAGTGCCTCATACATGTGGGGCAAGCGCTCCACCACTGAGCTACAACCCCAGTCCCCACCGCCCTTCTTTAATAGTTTATTTAGAGACAGGGTCTCATTGAGTTGCTTAGGGCCTTGCAAAACTGCTGAGGCTGGCTTTGAACTCATGATCCTCCTGCCTCAGCCTCCCMWGCGGCTGATTTTGCAGGCGTGCTGCGCAGTAGCGCAGGGCTTCTGCCTGATTTCTTCCAAGCCCCTCCCAGCCACCTAAGCTGGTCACTCCCCGCAGCTTTTCAGAATCCATTACKCCCTGTTCCTTCCCACCCTGTTCCTACTCACGGCCCCAGTTTTTCACTTGCCCGATTCCCTCCTTTCAGCTGAGGACCAAAGGACTGGATGAACCCAGACTCCACTGTAGTGAGCCGCCCTGTCCATCGGGTACTAGTGAAGAGGGGMCCTTGGAAGGAAATGCTTCTTTCAAAGGTAGGAGCTCAACATGGGCYCCCGGGAAGGGCCTCAGGCCCTCCAGCGAGGGGGGAGAGAGCCATTTTCAGCACAGCCCTTTGGGAGGAAGGATGGAGCCTCACCCTTGCTACGACCTCCAGGAGGACCCTGAGCCATCTGCTGTCCCCTCACCTCGCACACTTCACCTCAGCCCAGGCAGGGGGGCGCCAGGCCACCTTGTCCTTACCCAGCATGCCAAACAAATTGGAGGGCGTAGCCATCTGGGTCTTCTTCTCCGATCCCTTGGGAAGAGGCTTTGCGAGGCACCTGGCCACAATCACCCCAAAATAGGCCGCGAAGATGGGGAAGAACATGATGTCCATGTGGTGGTCCAACTGCAAGGAAARCCCAGGGGTCGTGAGTGTCCCCATCCTCTGAGCCTCCCGGAGGAGGCACGACTGGAAGTCACCAGGTGCACTCCGAGCTTCTCCCGCCTCTGCCAGCCGCCTCCCCCAGCCGCCTCCCCCTCGGAGGTGCCCAGGGGCAGCGGGGTGAATTCCCAGGTCCATTTAGGTGAGTCAAAGGGCCACAGGGACGTCACCCCCTTCTTCCCGCTTTTCAGCTGCATTTCAACTCTGCCTGGAGGGACGAGGGATAGAAATTTTGCAACAGGCAGCAGCCAGACTTCCTCGGATGCCACACCACAGCCCTGAGCACCTGCTGGACACAGGCTGGTCTCACCTCTCGGGTGTTGAGTTAGTGAGACTTCAGAGCTCACTTAGGGGGCTGCTGGGAGCGGCTGCAGCTGTGCCTTCCCCAAATGTCCAGAAGTGGCGGAATTTTTACTGTCTCTCCCCGTGGACCCCACCTTGCTTTGAGCCACTCTGTCACCCCAAATTCCTGCAATAACCTCCCACAGGACCCCTGTTCCCACCCTAGCCCACTGACTGTTCTCCAGGCAGCAGAAGTTGACCTGAGTCCCACCTCCTCTCTGCTCTGCCCAGAGTCCTGCAGGGGGTCCCGCCTCACTCAAGGTCACCCTTGCTGGGCCTCAGGACGCCCCCCGCCATCTGCTCCAGCCCTGCCCCGGCACTCAGCACCTCCCTTCCACCTGCTCCTTCCTCACCCCACAGCAGGCCCCGGCTCTAGGCCATTCAGGTGCCTGGACGCTCCTTCCAGSAGGGGCAGAAGAAGGGCAGGTGGAAGCCGTGGTCTGTCCTGGGTGCAAGCAATAAGGTGCGTTGTCCCCAGAGACTTCACACCACACCAGTGCCAAACAAGGCTCTGTCCCTTTCTTATTGTCACCCTGTGTGACCTTCTGAACTCCTCTGGGCAGACACAATCTACAACCCTGCCTTGCGGGGGTCTTGTGCCACTGTCCYCAGACACCCCTGTGCTGACTGCCCTCAGTTGCTTGGGCAAGGCTTCCGTGCCCGCCCKCCCTGACACTTTGTCCCCCACCCCCAGCTCTTCGCATTTCCTTTCTTCATTTTATTTTTTCCCAAAGTATTCTTTACCACTGAACACACCACACCTTTTGGCTATTTTTTGTTCATTGAACCTGCCYTCTGGAAGGAAGTTCCAGCAGAGTTGAATGGTTTCACTGCCACCAGAGTTCCTGGTGCATAATAGGTACTAAATAAATGCTCCTGAAATGGATGAAAGACAGTAAGAATCCCTCTGTTGTACATAAATATGCAAGTCTATGCAACTCCCTTATGAGAACTGCAAAGAGCCAAGCACACACCTCTAATCCCAGTGACTTGGGAGGCTGAGGCAGGAGAATCGCAAGTTCAAGGCCAGCCTCAGCAACTTAGTGAGACCCTCAGCAACTTAGAGAGAACCTGTCTCAAAATAAAAAGGGCTGAGGATGTAGCTTAGTGGTAGAGCATCCCTGGGTTCCATCCCTGGTACCATAAAAACCTGAAAAGAGAGCACATAATACATATATTTTTKGGGGGTACCAGGGATTGAACTCAGGGGCACTTGTCCACTGAGCCACATCCCCAGCCCTATTTTGTATTTTATTAGAGACAGGGTCTTACTGAGTTGCTTAGTGCCTAGCTGTTGCTGAGGCTGGCTTTGAACTTGCGATCCTCCTGTGGGTCCAGTCCCTTCCTGAGTCTAGCTGCATTTTCCACCCTTGGAGGTTGGAGGGTTTCTCTTTGTGGTGTGTGTGTGTGTGTGTGTGTGTGTGTGTGTGTGTGAACTATTAAACCCGGGAGTGCTCTGTGACTGAGCTACATCCCAGTTCTTTTTATTCATTTATTTATTTTGAGACAGGGTCTTCCTAAGATACTGAGGGCCTTACTAAATTGCTATTGAATTTGCAATCTTCTTACCCCAGCCTCCAGAGTACGTAGGATTACAGACGTGTGCCACCACACACAGTTTTGAAATCTTTATTCTAAATTCCTTTCATTCTGCCTAAGAAAGCACCAATGATATTCTCTCCCTTGGAACCAAGGAGTTGTAATCTATTATTATATGAAACAGAAGAAGCAGGAAATGAGAGTGTGCCTATGTGAGTCCATGAGCCCATAGTGATATAAATAGATGGATGAATAAATAATAGACGGAGAGGGGAACATGGAATTAGAAAACAGAGGTTGGTAATTGTCAGAGTATTGATTGACTCAGGCCAGAATCAACGCTAATCCAGCTGGTGGAAGCCGAATGAGAAACAGAGTATTCACAGGAAGCATTTCCCAACATAGGTTTATTAATTACAGAGGGGAAAATAGTAACTTCACCGTGGAAGATCCTGGCAGCCACCACCTTAACCAAGTGATCAAAGCTAACATGTCCAGTTAACAGGACAAACCAACAACATATCTCCTGAAAGATACGTGCTACAGAGGAAACATTGCTGTTGTAGGATTTCTGCCAAAAGTTGCATGCACTCAATCTTACCAGGAGGAAATGGAAGACAAGCCCACATTTTGTTGAGATGACTGGCTTGTGACTTCAAAACACATCAAAATCATGAAAGATAAAAGGATTAAGGGATTAAGGACAGATAAGCTTTTAAAAAGACAGGAGCCCTCAATGGAAGAGGTGATTCTGGACCRGAAAAAATAATTTTTTCTTTTGTTATAACAGGATATTACTAGGACAATKGGTGACACCTGAATAAGGTAATAATATTAATGTCGATTTCTCAATTGTTATCACTGAACCATGGCTCTGTAGGAGAACATGTTTAGGAAACACACACTTGGTCTGCAGGGTTATAAGAAAGTCCAACGCGCTCTCCCTCCCGCTCTCTGCTTCCTGGCTGCCTTGATCCCTGTGGCTTTCCTCAGCCAAACCCTCCACCATGACCCTCTGCCTCCTCTGGGGCCCAGAGCCAAGGAGTCCGCTGACCACCCAACCTCGGAGACCATGARCCTAAAACAAACTTTCCCTCCTCTAAAAAACAAAGACAAAGAGAAAACGCTGGTGAAGAGAGCTAAAGTGAAGGCACAGTCAGAACCTCCTGCGGTTCCCTGGGGACCACTGCCCTGCCCCCTCCCCCTCCTCCAGCTACCTGGAGAACCTGCCCACACCTGCCCCTCCCAGCCGCAGTGACACGCTGCCTCCTCCCGGAAGATGTTGGCACCTGCCCTTCCGCCTCTGCCCCCGTCACTCTGCCAAGGACACCTGGGTCCCCACTCCTCCCCTCTCTTCCTTCACCCTCTCTGCTCTGAAACCTTTCCCTACATTTGACTTCTGCCACCCACACCCACGGTCACACCTCAGGCCTTGCCACTCCTGGTCACTCCTGACCAGGAACGGCCACCTCCAAAATCTCAAATTGAGCCCCAGCCCCTGTGGCCCCGCCCCAATGCCCGTCAATCAAGCCTGAGGATGATGGTGAGGAGGAGGAAAACATCATTGCCATGGCAACGCCCCCACACACACCAGGCACCGCCCCCATCACTTGTGGACTCCTCCCAGCAGCCCCAGGTGTGGGGATTGATGTCACCCCAATCTACAGATAGGGACACCGAGGCAGGGGGGGGGGTTAAGTGCTCTGGTGATGCTGAGCTGAGATTTGAGCCCAATGGCTGCAGGATTAGTGGCAGAGCTGGGAGACAAACCCCAGTCTTGGACCCCAAGTCCAGTGCTCTCTCTCCTAAACCCAGCCAGAGCTCGGGGTCTCACGTGGGCTCTGCCACTGCCTTGCTGTGGGACCGTGGGCAGTCCCTTCCCCCCTCTGGGCAGCTAGGAAGTTCACCAGGCCTCCACTCGGGGTCCTGGTTATGGCAGAGGAGCTGAGAGGGGCCTCTAGAAGGGCATCACCTTCACCGATTGCTCCAAACCTACATTTTTTATTTTTCTTTTCAATACTAGGGATTGGACCCAGGGGTGCTTTTGCCCCAGCCCTTTTTCAGTTTTTATTTTGAGGCAGGGTCTCACTGCGTTGCTGAGGCTGACCTTGACTTTAGGATTCTCCTTCGCAGCCTCCTGAATGGCTGGGATGACAGGAGAGCATCACCCGCCTCAAACCTAGACTTCGAGTGAGTGTCTCTCCCAGCGAGATCATAGAGGTCACAGAGGACACACTGGCTGATTTAAAAGAAGACACTGGCCACACAACCTGCTGGACCCTCCGCAGGCAGGGCCCGGGAATCCCTTCTCTTTTTAAATATCCTGTGATGATCTGGTGAATATCCAGTCCGACAGGTTCCTATTGTGGAAATAGAGGCCATACTCTGCAGTGTTCAAACACTGAGCACAGACCACCCTTCTGCAACCCCCTTGGCCCTGTCTTTATATTTTTAAAGGCCCTCCCCACTCCCACTCGCCTTCTCGCCCCTCTTTCCAAGCCCCCCCTCAGCACCGGGAGTCACCTGGAATAATGTCGAGCCGACTGTCCTCATGATGCCAATGGCTGTCACTTCCAGTAGCGTCATCACTGTCAGCTGCACCAAGTTGGCCTTCCCCAGGACCATCCCCGCGGAGATGAGCACAGTGATGGCGCTCATGGAGGCCGGGTAGAAACTGGAGGACACAGGGAGGGCCAGTGTGACCACGTGGGAAGGCCACCTCTCTGCCTGGCCCTGCTCTAGGCACTGAGGACGCAAGGTGGGGACAAGGAGAGAAGGCTTCACCCACAAGAGGGCTGTCGCTGCGGTGGTACCTTTTGCCCTGTCCCCCCCAGAGCGAAGGTGGCTCTGGGCGCCCATCCTACCCACAWGCTCGGAGGCTCTCACAGTCAAGGAGGCCGCCCCGGGCCCAGGAGCCCCCGGGGCCTGACCACTGGGGTTCTGCCCGGGGACTTCTTTTCCGCTGTCACTATGCACAGACGCTCGATAGAGGGCGCCCTTGGCCTGTGGGCCCACCCGCCATGGGTCCCTGCCACCCTGTCTCGGCGTTCCTTCTGCTGGCAATGGAGAGGTGGGCTGTGGATGCAGGACACGCTGGGCTCCCATCGCAGCCTCGCACCCTGAGCACCTATTTGATCTCACTGAGCCTGATTCCCCGTCTGCAAAGTAAGAATGATGATCACACTTATCTCCTGGTGGTGCCCTGGGATGGGAAGGAACAGGGCACCCAGCACCCCCACGGGCAGGAGACCTGGCCCATGGCCAGAGGCTGGCATAGGCTGCTGTGCCAACCCCTTCCTCCTCTTGGCAAATGAACCTGCTCCTTGTGGGGTGCAGGAGGGAGGGAAAGCCACTGTTGGTTGTCTTCAAGGTGCTTATGACCGAGCTGGGGAGTAGGCTTCCCCCCAGCCTGTGGGCTAAGAGCCTGTGCTATCGAGAGGCCAGAGGGGTCTTGGGGAGGAGAGGGTGGCGCCAACTGGACTCCTCAGGGGGCTTCCCGGAGGAGGCAGCACTGAGCCTCACAGTCCACTTTCCCCTGAGCATCTTGCTCTGGGGACCCTCCACCCTGGGAGTCCTTGCTGTTGTGACATCCACCACAACTATGATCACAATGCTATACAACAGGCTTGTGACAACATCCCCACCAAAAGCTAATCCTCAGGGTGACCACTGTAAGACCGTGATGAGTGACCACTCAGGACCCCATCGTGCAGAAGACACTGGACGAGAAGAACCGACTCCTGGCAATGGCCGCACTCCAGGTGGTGACAGATGTAACGTTCAAACCCACCTGCCCGGATCCAAAGCCCAAGCTCCAAAGTCTGGACACAGCTCCTCAGTGTCCACTGCTGACATAATGTCCTGCTCCAGACTCAAGGACTTCAGAGGGGGCACAGGGAATGGGGAAGGGACCAGGAGCGACCTAGCTCAGGGGTGGCTGCACGTCCATCATGCCTGGACAGCTGGGCCTTTTGAGGACTCTCACCGACAAGAGCTTTGTGGTTTTTTGGTTTGTTTTGTTTCTTGTTCTGGGGGTTGAACTCAGGGTTGCTTTATCTCTCCGAGCCATATCCCTAGCTCTTTTCACTTTTTATTTTGAGACAAGAAGAGTGGTCATTGCTATTATCACCCAGGGACAGTCCTCTGGAACTTTCAAAATACAGCCTTAAAAATATCACTCAGAGGGATGGGGTTGTAGCTCAGTGGTGGAGCGCTTGCCTAGCACGTGTGAGCCCGGGACTCAGTCCTCAACATCACATAAAGATAAATAAATAAAATAAAGGTATTRTATCCATCTACAACTATAATAATAATACTAATTTTAAAAATTAAAAAAAAATCAGAGCCGGGCATAGTGGCGCACTCCTTAATCCCAGCGGCTCGGGACACTGAGGCAGGAGGATTGCAAGTTCAAAGCCAGCCTCAGCAATAGCAAGGCACTAAGCAACTCAATGAGACCCTGTCTCTAAATAAAATACAAAATAGCGCTGAGGATGTGGCTGGAGAGGCTGAGGCAGGAGAATCTCAAGTTCAAGGCCAGCCTCAGCAACTTAGAGGGACTTGCAGAAACTTAGTGAGACACTGTCTCACAATTAATTAAAAAAAAAAAAAAGGAGGGGGGAGGGGGAGCACGGCTGGGAGGTGGCTCAGTGGTTAGAGCACACCTGGTTCAGTCCCTGGTATCAAAACACAAAACCAAACAAAAACGGGGATGGTGTTGGGGTGTCACTCGGTGCTAGAGCACTTGCCTGACACACATTGAGCCCTGGTTCAAGCCCCAATACCACCCACAAAAATCACTCATACGGTCCCTTTGGTTTTCATCTTCTCTCCCGATAATCATCCTCCACCCAGCTTTTACTMTGTGAGGGAAACAGAGGACGCAGCTCGCCACCTGGCCCCACCCTGCCAGACTCAGGGCAGAACCCATTCAGTGCCAAGCCAGGTGGCATGGTTTCAAGTGAGGCCCAGGAAGACAGGCAGAGGACCCTGTCCCCAGGACGGCCCAGGCGCCCCCATCAGCCCAGCTCTGGTGACTGGCAGGAGGGAGCCCATTGTCCCCATGTAGCCCAGTGAGGGTCCCAGCCGGGAGAATCCAGGTGGTCTGGGGCAAGGTGGCACAGGTCCCCAATGGCCCCATCTTGTCTCCAGGATTGAGTCAGGGACCAGGAAGTCCCAGGGGACATGAGAAAGGAGCAGCCCTGAGACGCTGCCCACTCTGACCTGCTCAAGTGCAGAAGTCTGAGGGCTTGAGTGTCCAGAGACAGGCCGTCAGAAGTCCCTCGGGGGACCCTTGTGACTCCCAGGTGGATACCAGGGTTGGTCCAGTTCCCTTGGGAATCAGCGCCACAACTTTTTAAAATGAAAACTGTGGAGACCCCCCTCAACCCACCCAGGGCCGCTGAGGAACTGGCCAGGCTGTGTTTCCCGTCACGACCCCTCTGGAGTGTGAGGAAGCCTACAGAGAGTTATATAAGCTGACGCCATCGCCACCGCTCAGCTGTGTGACCTTTCCCTCTCTGGCCTTCATTACCTTATATATAAAGGGTGGACCTCGACCTATAAGGGCTAAACAAAATACCTGTGAAGACTCATGGACAGCTGTTCAACAGCGGTGCCCAGAAGGTCTAGGTGGGGCTGCGGTGGCCTCAAGAGGGCTTCAGATGCCCCAGGTGCCTAAGACGGTATAACCATTATACGGACATGCAGAGTTGGAAAAAAACAATAATATTGTTTTTTAAAAAAATTTTTTTTCAAAAAAAAAAAAAAAAAAAAAATTTTTTTTCGTTAGGGGTGTTGGGGATTGAGCCCAAGGAATGCTGAACATCTACCAATGAGCTACAGCATTCAGAGAATCTTTTTTTTTCTCAATTTTTTTTTGCAGTTGTAGATGGACAGAATACCTTTATTTTGCTTGCTCATTTTTTATGTGGTGCTGAGAACTGAACCCAGTGCCTCACACATGCTAGGCAAGTACTCTGCCGCTGAGCTACAGCCCCAGCCCCCTAAAACAACAAAATTCTTAAGGTAACAATGTCACTTAGTTCTTCCTATCAAGCACCGAGCACCCAGATTAACACCCTTAACCCTGAGAACGTGTATGGCCCCGGGTTATTCCGTGCTCCTCTCTGATCAGTACCACTTGTGGTCCACTGTTGGGACTTCCAGCACCACGCTTTAGCTTACTGGCTCCTGGTGTCTAACACAAGTGTATCTAAATGCAGCAGAGTCAGTTTAAGGTCAGCAACCTCTGGTTGTTTCTTGGCCTCATCTCTGAAGATGCATCTTTTCAAGAGGCTGTCTCTGCAGGTGGGATATGACTGTTTCTTTCTGTTTACTCTTTTTCTTAATTTTTCCATGAGCCTTTGCTGATTGAGTGACTTCATAAAATCATAATCAATCATAAAGAAAACAAGGACCCTGGGAGCGCTGCAGATCTGAAGGCCCAGGATACCACCAACCAGGGGTATCATATAAAATGCAGATGCCCAGCTAACTGTGTATTTGGGATAAACAATGAAGAATATTCCAGAATACGTATGTCCTTAGCATGGCATGACCTCAGAGCTAGAAAGAGAAAGAGACATTCCTACTCTTCTAGAACCTTCCCTCTCAGACCCTATTTCCTCAATGACCCAAAGGTTACCTGGTCAGTTTGTTGGGCACGTTCCCACTGAGGAGCCAATCGGTGAAGCTGTCTGTCAGGATAGCCCACTGGATGGCCAGGACCAGCATGAAGAGGCCGAAGGCCACGCTGCTCCAGCCCTGTTTCTGCAAAGATGCGTTGAGGAAGCCCAAGCCCAGGACGGCCATGATGATAAACTCCTGGAAGACTGCTCAGAGAAGAAGGTGGGGAAGGAAGAGGAAGAGAACACAAAGAGAAGTGAGCGTGAGATGAGTTTTACTGAAGGCTGCTGGAGGGCCTCTGGGGATCACTTCAGGGTGTTTGGTCAAATCCCTTTGCCTGCTGGCCTCAGTTTTCTCATCTGAACGATGGGGATATCGCCCATTTCTGCACAGGGCTGAGGTGAGACAGAGGAGCTCATGCTGGTGAAGACCCTCGGGCAGGCCTGGCCCACCGTGAGCGCTCGGGAAATGTAGCAATTATTTTTATTAATGAGCATAATGCCACGGACAAGGGCAGAACACTGGGATCTGTGCTTGGCACATAGGTGACACTTAGTAAAGGTGATTGCTGCTAATACTAGGGATCAGGGACACCCCCGGTCATGCACGTGAGAAAATGAGGCCACAGCGGTGACTCGGTGACGCGACCCAGGTCACGCAGGAAGGAGGAGGCAGAGGCAGGCCAGGAGCTCCTTTGGATATGAACCACATTACCTTCCCAGAAAACAGTTCTCCCCTTTGCCACCAGCTGCGAGGGTCCTGGTGGGTCAGCAGAAAACATCCAGTGTCCCTCGCCTTTCCTGACCTCAGAGCCTGAGTGGAGGTTGCTGAGGCAGGGGAGTGGAAAAGTCCCACCTGATGGCAGGGAGAGCCCCCACAGAAGGAAGAGCGAGCACTTTGATTTGATTCCAGTTTGGAAAAATGGTTAGCAGCTTTACAGTAGCACGAGGCAAACTTGGGTTCAAATGAGCACTTTCTAGCTGTGTGGTCTTGAGCTGGTTACTCAGCCTCTCTGAGCCTCCGAATATGGAGTGGATATGATGTGCTGACAGTGTTTAAACACTTTACATATTCCATCTCCCTTGGTCCACAGAACAGCCTTTGAGGAGGTTACCATCACCTTCCTACAGATGTGAAAACCAGGGTGCAGAGGCTGTAAGTAACCCGCCTACAGTCGGCCCCAGCCCCTGCCTTTGACATCTCCACTCTCCGCTCCCTCCTCTTCCCATTCACATTTATTGAATGACATAAATAATCCTCTGTCACCCGGTTGCCAGAGTCACATGGTAGAACACACACAGGGACTCAGAAGGGCACAGGCCACGGTGTCGATAAGCACTGTATTAATGCCTGGAGAGAGATCCGGGAGGGTTTTTCTGTTTTTCCTCCTATGGACATTGTCTCTGGGTTTGGGAGACTTTTACTTTCTTTTATTTTCCATGTTTAACGTTGTTTCTGCAGCCAGCATGGAGGCAGAACACACAGGAAAGGAGAAGAAGGAGGAGGAGGAGGAGGAGGAGGAGGAGGAGGAGGGGGAGAGAAGAAAGCATGATCTCCAAGTTCAGAGGTTCTGTTTGGTCCTGACTCCATCATCTCCTATCAGGCTAAACCTTATTAAACTGCCCACAGGGGGCCAGTTTTGACCTATTAAAACATTGGTTGACATGTCCACCTCGTGGCCAYTCCTCGGAGGGGGCTGGCAGCTCTAGAGGAATTAACATTCTGTTCCAGTGTTCGGTGTGGCCGGACACAAGGAAGACGCTTGATAAACGGCAGCTGTTCATTACCATCATTATGACAATCAGCGCGATAAGAACTCGCTGCCTCTGGTCTCCAGGCCTGGCCCTGATAACGCCGAGGAAGTTCTCACCACTGAGCCCTCCCGGACCTGGAGAGCCCCTGGACTTGGGGGCCAGCTATCTATCTATTTATTTATTTAAAGGCTCAAGCCGAGGTTGATTTAGGAAACCAAGGATTAGCTCCTTGTAGGGAGAGAAAGTACCCGCTATCTCGAGAGTGAGAAAACCCTACAGAATCCTTTCAAGTCCACTTCCATAGAGGAGGGCACACACCCAGGGTCCTCCACATCTGGGTACCTTGGGTGGCTGTTGACGTTTCCAGATCAATCAGACAACCCCGGGATGCAGGAGGCCCCCAAGGAAGGACGACTACCCCAGGATCTGGGGGCTTGGACAGTGGGTGGGGACAGGGTTAGGAGGATCCAACTCTGTACCCTCCCCCAGACACGGTGCAGGAAATGTGTCCCTCTCCTGCTTGTGTCCTCCTGGCCATAGGGCAAGATCCCTTCAGGAGCCCGTGGGGCACAGGGAGGTACAATGGCCAATGGCAGGCACCACTGGGAATGGGGAGGCCTGTGGCTGGGTGGGCACAGCACACCCCACTTGAGATATTTAAGTTCCACCTTTTGTCAGACACTGTTGTTGAACCAAGCTCAGCCGCCATTTTGCTGCAATGTTGTCTGCACAGGGCCCAGACCTACTGAAGATCCAGGGATAAGGGACAGCCCTCTATTTTCCTCAGGGGGACCAAAGAGAATGTGTGACTTTGCCAATGCCACCCGGCACACCCCAATGGATCCCAGCTCTGAAGTCCTGGTGCAGGGTCCCTCCTCCAGGCCTCGGTTTCCCTATCTGCAACACGTGGAAGCTGGGGTTCACATTCCTACAGGCCCTACAGGTCCTTGCAGTTCTAGAATATTCTGAAGAGCCGTTTAGGGGAGGGAGGAGAGTGAAGACTCCCCAGGATGAGGGCAGAGGTGGGGCCCTGGGTCTAGAAAGTCCAAGAAGAGGGCCGGGGGGGGGGGGGGTTCCTGGCCTAGACGTCAACTTGATTCCAGGTGTCAAAGCTCTTGGCCTTCTTCCCCAAGTCCCCGCACTGTCCTGGAGGGGGGAATCATGCCCTGCCAAGAAGAGGAAATGAGGGCAGCAGTTTCCAGGAGCTGTTGACAGGACCCACGCACCCCAGCTGGTGGGTAATGTTCAGCTGAGGCTCCTCCTCCCCGGGCCCCTGTACCCTCTCACTTCTTCCCGGGCCCAGACCCACTCAACTCCTGGGGCCCCACTCAGGGCACCTCCATTGGTGTCAACCACCCGCATCAGTCTGATAAGCWAATGGACACAAGGTGTTGAGGGGTGATAAGAAGTGGGTGTGCTGCGGGGGCCCCCAAGAACTGGGCCCAGAGATGGATTTGAAGTCAGGCCTTCTGGAGAGGTGAATGAAAACCCGGGCACTGAGCTCCTCGCTGGCCCTGCAAATTGCTTCACCCAGCCTCGGGGGCCCACTCCSGGCCCCTGCCAGTCACCAGCTGTGTGGCTTTGGACAAGACTGTTCCCTCCGCAGGCCTGGTCATTCACTGGCACAGAATGAACTGTGGATGATGCAGTTCCCTCTCAGAGTCCATCTCATGGCCAGCGGCCTCCTGCGGGGGTGCCCCTGTGATTCTGGACGGGCCCACGCCCATCGGCCCCTCCCTCTGGCCCATGGAAAAGTGAGCACTACTATCCCTGAAGCCTGGGCCTGTTTCTGTGTCCAGGCCCTGGGATGGACCCCACCCTGTGCTCCCCTCTGTTGACCGGGACGGCCTCCACGGCCTGCCTGCCTCCCTCCTCCACGGCCTCTACACCCACTCAGCTCCCACTGGCAGCAGCTCAGGAAGAGGAAAGGCGATTTCCCAGAGGGACAGTCTAAGACTGAGCTGTGGAAGGTRCCAGGGTTCAGGGTATGTCCATGTCACTGGAAAAGCCCTGCTGTCTTCCTGTAGCCCTTCTCTCTGCCTCTGAGAAGTACAGGGCACCGGGTGGTGTCGACAGCACAGGATTGGGATGGTCTCCCAACGAGGCAGCCCCCAATGAAACATGGCTTTGGCCAGTGGGACAGGCAGAGGCCTGCCAAGCACCCCACGCCAGGGCTTACCCTCTCTTACTGTGGGGCGGCTTCTAGTGCCAAATGAGGGTCTGGGAGAACCTGCTGCCACAGTCAAGGTCCTAGCTGCCACCAGTTCTTAATGCCAACAGGGGGATGAGGTTATGAGAGATGATCCCACCCTAGTCAAACCTCCCCAGTACAGATACAAGAGTGACCCTCAGCGAAATCACCAGAAAATTTGTCCATCTGATGAGCCCCACTCAATTGCTGAGTCACAGAATCCTAGTCATCAGCAAATTAAATGGTTGCTATTTTAAGTCACTAAGTTTGGAGTTGGTTGTTATGGTGCCATCGATAATCAGTAGACTTTGCTGCTCTTCAGTATCACACAGGCACCTCTGTTCAAGAGGACAAGGAACACATCATTGTGCATTTGTCCCACATCTGTTCCCTGTCCTTGTACTTCTCATCTCAGGAACTGGCACAGCCATCCACCAATCACAAGCATGGACACATGGTTGACTCCTCCCTCTTTCACCAAGTACAGCTGATCTTATCGCCTAAACATCTCTTGCATCCGGCTCAGATGCTCATCTGACCTCATCTGACCTCATCTACAGTCAGAGGTCAGTAGAACAAGGAACACACACCTCGGAAGATGTCCCAGACATCCATAGKGCTGAAGCAAGAAACCATTAACATTTCTAGTTTCATTTTCACCTAAAAAGAAATTAAAGCTGATAATAATATAATAGTAGTAAAAGCTGATACTGTTTATCAATCTATATAATTATTCTTTGGCATCCTTTTGATAACTTAATGCAATAAGTATTGTCATCATGTGACAGAGGTTGCAAAGAGGCAGAGAGAGGTTGAATCATTTGCCTAAAATCTCACAGTTAATAAGCTGCAGAGGCAAAATTTGAGCTGGTCTAGCTTCTTCCGTAGTCTCCAGCTTTCATGTGCATTAGAATCTCCTAGAAGATTCTTAAAAACACAGATGGCTGGGCCTCACCGTCCCCAGAATTTCTGTTTAGTATGCCTGAGAATCTGCATTTCTCATGGATACTGAGACAGCTTGTTCAGGGACTACACGTTGAGAACCACAGGTCTAGGTTATTCTTCCRAAAAGTACTTAGTCGGTTTGCAACTTAATATTCAGGTCAACCCGGGACCCCCCTCAATGTGCTTGGCCTGTCAGTCTCCATGCTCCTGGGCTCCGAAGGTGTCCTGAGGGAATACTGGGCTACTGGGAAGGTCGGTAAGTGCTTCTTCATCATGATCATGTTGCAAGGAATGGCAGAGCTTTTAAATTTTTTCTTAAACTGCTACAGAAAATGGTAAGCATACAAAGACAGAGAGAGAGAGAGAGAGAGAGAGAGAGAGAGAGAGAGAGAGAGAGACAGAAGGAGAGAGAGAGAGAGGAGAGAGAACATAGCATGGTGATTCCCACGTACCTATTACTAAATTTCGATGATTGTCACATGAAATTACTCCTCTCCATCTTKTATTTATTTATTTATTTGTTTATTTATTTATTCATCTATTTATTTATTTTTGCATAAGGCAAACCCCAGATACCACACCACTTTAATATGCTTATCAACAGATAGGACCCTAAAACAAAACAAAACAAAACAAAAACATATACTTTTACCACACCTAACAAAATTAGCGATCTTTCTTGTATGTCATACAATATTCATGTTATATCCAAATTTCCTGATTAACTCAAAATGTCTTTTTCGATTTGGCAGGTTTAAATATTTACTGTCGTTTACACGGCCGGGATTAGATAAAGTGGACAGACAGATCAAGCTACCTTGGTTTAACTCAACTAACCTACACAAAATGGACTCATGACTTAACTGACACCCGCAAAGAAACACAGATGGCCGGCCAAAYGCTAAGGCCAGCCAGGAGGACAGAAAGAGAAGGGAAGAGCAAGATGCCTCCTGCACAACCCTCCAGTCACTTGGAGGCTAAAAAAAAGTCCATCAAAAGTCAGATCTGGCCAGGTGCGGTGGTACACACCTGTAATCCTAGCAGCTCGGGAGGCTGAGGCAGGAGGATCACAAGTTCAAAGCCAGCCTCAGCAAGGATGAGGCTCTAAGCAACTCAGTGAGACCCTGTCTCTAAACAAAATACAAAATAGGGCTGGGGTGGTTGAGTGCCCCTGAGTTCAACCCCCAGTACCAAAAAAAAAAAAAAAAAGTCAGATCTGACAGGAACTTAATGAAGACAACTTGAGGACTGGGGCTGTGGCTCAGCGGTAAAGCACTTGCCCAGCGTGTGCAAGGCCCTGGGTTTGATCCTTAGCACCATGTAACAATAAATAAGTAAAATAAAGGTTTTGTGTCCAACTACAACTAAAAAAATAAATATCTTAAAAAAAAGACAACTTGAAATTATTAAGAAGGTACTGAATATCATGTGTTTCATTTTGATCTCTTGAAACATTTTAAATGTGTGCATAGTTTATATATATAGGCTTTTTTTTCAGGCAGAGTCTTGCTGTGCTCCCAGTCTGGCCCCGGATCTCTTAGCCTCTGCCTCCCAAGTAGCCTCCCAAGTGGCTGGGTCTACAGACATGCTCAAAAACGCCTGCCTACAGTTGGGGTGTGGTCAGTGGGCAGCGCTTGCCTAGCAGGTGGGAGGCCCTGGTTCCATCCCCAGCGTCGTGGGAAGAAGAAAAAGAAAAGTGAGCACCATGTTTGAAGCCCTCTGCAGGTGGACAGTTGGGACGACCGCCTCACTGGTCTCATGCCCTGGGTTCCCCATGGTCCAAACCCAAGCTCTTGGGGTTCCTGCGTCCTGTCAGGTCAGCAGAATGGAGGCCAACTCCCTACTCAACCACTGGGGCCCCCACTCCCTTTCTGCTCCAGCAACACCACAGTGTCGAACCCTGGCCAGGTCCCCCGCTCCGGGGGCTGCCCTCCCTTCCCTCGTGGTTAACTCCTATGGAACCCAGAGACCTGGCTGGGCAGTCCACCTCCCTTCAGGAGCCCTCCCTGTCGCCCTGTCTTCCCTGTGCTTCCATAGGAAGCGAGTTTCTGACGACACTTTAAACTCAGGTTAGCAGCACAGAGTGGGTGGAGAACGAGGTCCCAGGTGCCAACCTGTGGGTTTGGATGAGTGGCTCCTACACCTCCTGGTTAGGTGACAAACAAGTGACCGTCCTGTACAGAACACAATGGTTCAATGCGTGGAAACTAAAACCAGGATGCCTAAATTTAGATCTGCTATGCTATCGCTAGCTGGGCAACCTTGGGCAAATTACTTAACGTCCACGTGGGCAGTTTCCTCGTGAAAAACCGAGACCATAATAGGACCTACGTCATAGTGTTGCCGTGAGGCTTAATGTAAAGCACACAGTGCGTGGCCTGGTACCAACAAAGTAGGTGCTCAGTAAACACCAGCTCTAACCTGCAGGTATCTGGAACCCAAGCTGGATGTGCATGATTGAATGGAGAAACAAACGGATGCACTGAATTGGAATAAAGATCGTACTGGATTAAAAAAAATAAATAAATTGAGGGCTGGGGTTGTGCCTCAGTGGTAGAGTGCTTGTCTAGCATGTGTGAGGCACTAGGTTCAATTCTGAGCACCATGTATCAATAAATAGAATAAAGGTCCATTGACAACTAAATTTTTTTTTTTTAAATGAACTAAAATTATGCCCAGGTCTTGCTCCTGTGGCGCTGAAAGCCAGGCTTCAGTGGGTGGGCGGTCCCGTCCCTGAACTGCTTCTGTTCTCATTGCCTCTGCCGGGGACCCCTGGGTGCCTCCCCTTCAAATCCAGTTCACTATTCCGTTGACATCACTTAGGAAATGCACACATCTGGACTCGGGCTGCATGGATACCTTGAGGACATCTTGTAAGGAGACTATCTACTGCCATTAACAATCTATCAGCCCAACCAGAGACTTGAAATATGTCTCAAGATTAAAAAAAAAAAAAAACAAAAAACCAAGTCACACCATGGTGGACATCTGTCTTGTTTATAGTTGTTCTCATCACAGTCTCGGGATATTTTTAGCTGCACATAAAATAACCACCATCCTACACGCTCCTTCAGTCATGCCTTCTGGCTCTGGTTTTGCAGGCAGAATGCAGACTTTCCAGCCACTAAGAGAGAAGAAGGCAGGGGAGGGCTGCCGAGAGAGTACGGAAGGAACAGGAGGGACCCCCAAAAGGAAGGAAACTCCCCAGATCAACAGCCACCACGCGAAATTCCTTGCTGCCAAAGAAGCAAAGAAGCTGAGAATCACAAAGACCCCTCGGCCCAGGGAATTCGGGGTACACCCAAAGGAGGTCCCAAGCTCTGTGCCCACAAACCCAGGAGGGCTTCGTGGAGGAGTTGATGCCCGCTGCTCACATCGCCAGCTGGTGCACTCCATGGAGGAAGAGGAAACCTCCTCTCCTTGGGACTTTGGTGGAAAGGAACACCTCCTCCGTCCTGTCCTTGGGGAGCCTCAGACCTTCCGGCCCCGGGGGCCCTGTTCACCTCTGTGAGCACCTCCCCAGCGGGGAGGTGTGGCCCTCACCTTGATAGGTCCCCATGAACGTTTTCTGGTCCATTAAGGGAACATCATAGGCGGTGAAGAAGATGAGGAGGAGGAGAGCTGTCTCCAGGAGCAGGGCCCACAGGGGCAGGCAGCTCCGGATCGACCGCGGGTACCTGGAGCCCATCCTGCCACGTCTCTGTGCGCTGGGCAGGGGTTCCACCAGCGCAGCCCTCACTGGGCCCCCCACACCCACTTGAGGGCGTGGTAGGGGAGACACCCGCCAAAGCCCTTATCTCAGGACGCAAGGCGGATCCCACTGGCCTGTGTACAGAGCTGAGGCAGAGCAGAGGGACCCGATGGGGATGGAGCCCCAGGAGCCCCGGAAGAGAGGGGGATCCCAGCTCTGGAGCAGCGGGGGCCTGGCCTGTGTGATGGAGCCAGACAGAGGCGTCGACAGAGGTTGGTTTAGGAAGCAGACAGACCTTCTGAAGCCAGATTTAAAGTTAGGTAGTCAGTGTAGTTAGGTAAATCGGGTCTAATATCGAGTGAAATCTAAAATGGAGGCCATGCTGGGAATGACTCAGGGAAAACAGGACAACTCATGGAGTGTTAATAAAGTTCCAAAAAGGCCCTAGGCCAAAGTCCAC